GGCCTGCTTTTGTTGATTTTGATGGGAGTTTTCTGTGCCTGCTAGATCTTGATGTCTGTTGCTTTCCCCAGATTAGGGAAGTTTTCTGTTATTATTTCTTGAAATAAATTTTCTTACACCTTTTCTCCCTCTTCTACTGGGACTCCTACACTACAAATGTTATTACTTTTGATGGAGTCACTGAGTTCCCGAGGTCTTGTCTCATTTTGCATAATTCTTCTTTCTCTCCCTTCTTCAGCTTTATTGCTTTCCATTACTTTGTCTTCTAGGTGATTAATTTGTTCTTCTGCTTCTTCCAGCCTGCTGTCATTGCATCAGGTATGTTTCTAATCTCATTTATTGCACTCTTCATCTCTGATTCTTTAATTCTTTTATCTCTGTTTTAAGGGTCTCACTCATGTCTTCCATTCTTTTCTCAAGCCCAGTGAGTATCCTTATCATCACTGCTTTAAATCCTCCATCAGGCATGATATTTATATCTGCCTCACTTAAATCTCTGGCCCCATGGCCTTATCCTGTTCTTTCATTTCAGATAAATTCCTGTTTTCTCATTTTGTCTATGTCTCTACCAGCTTCTCTGTGTTAGAAAAGCCAGTTATGTCACCTGCTCCTGAAAGTAATGGACTTATGAAAAAGACGTCATGTAGTGCCCAGGGTCTGGCACTTAGGGTAGTGTCTGCAGTGTGTGCTACATGCACTCTGCTGTTGTGTTCTGACTGCTCGATCCTTTAGGCCAGTCATCTGCAGAGGCTCTCCCCACCTGCTGTGGGCAGTGTTTGGTACCTGGCTGGAATGTAGCAACTTTTAAATTCGGTGTGCTCTGGTGTGCTTGTGAAATGAGAGCTGTCACCACCTCCACTGGAACTGAGGCCCTCCTGAATCTGGTCAGGAGAGGTGGTGTGGGCAGGGGTCTTCTGGGGGGGGTGGGGGGGAAGGCCTGCTGTGCTGGAACTGAGGCAAGAATGATTGATCAGGGCAGTTCCACTGGAGTGCAAGGGGACGGTTTGGTGTAAGCAAATTAGGCAGCCAGTGTCAGAGCTGCACCACTTCCCACAGGAGGCTCTGTGTTGGTGCTGAGGGGCAGTGGAGGGAAATGGCATCAGCTGGTTCCTTTGTTCCTAGAGAAGTATCTCCCTGAACACTGCCTCCCAGGGACATGCTCTGAGAAGAGCGAGTAATCTCCCCACTGTATGCCCCAGGCACTGTTCAGATCACTATTTCCATGCTGTATGCTCCCGGGTTGTTTACCTGCCTTCTCTCCAAGAGCAGCACAGTGCCCTACAGGCTCTATCCCAGCTAAGCCTGATGACCTTTAGAACTCCAGGCTTTAAGCCCCCCTCGTTGTAAGAACTCATGAAATTCAGCCCCTCTCATCTTCTAAGCCAGTGGGTATGAAGAAACGTTCTCTTTGTGCATTTCCATGTACTCCTCTCCTGCCCTTCTCTATGACCATGAATCCCTCCCCTCTATAACAGCCAGGATCTGTTCTCTCCCAAACCACATCTCTGTACTTCTACCTTCTTCAATGTGTCCTCTTCCTTCTCTTTAGTTGTGGAGTTTGTTCTGTCAGTCTTCAGGTATTAGGTGAACCTAGGCTGCTCTTACTCTGCTACCATCTTCCTTTCTCTCAAGACATTTCTCTAAGATACGCTTCAATTACAAATTATTACAACTAGGCAGGCATGCCTCTATAGATTTTCCTCTCAAGTTAGGGGAGAAGAAAGACTGGCAAGCAGAAAGACAATATGATTGCAAGTATAACAGCTGAAAAACTAGGAATAGTTTAATAACCAAAATTGGACCTTTTACCTGATCTCCATTAACTGAAATTCTAAAAGAAATAGCCAGCTTTGAGTATTTTTTAATCAATCTACTACTCAATCTTCATTCTGCTTTCATCAGTGAGGAAATAAAGAGAACATTATGGAATCATTTTTAATTTTTTCAGTAGCAAACCAAATGTACTGTCCATTGGCACTATTTAAATTAAATATAGGTGGCGCCTGGGTGGCTCAGTCATTAAGCATCTGCCTTTGGCTCAGGTCATGATCCCAGGGTCCTGGGATGGAGCCCACATCAGGCTCCCTGCTCCACGGTAAGCCTGCTTCTCCCTCTCCCATCCCCCTGCTTGTGTTCCCTCTCTCGCTGTGTCTCTCTCTGTCAAATAAATAAATAAAATCGTAAAAAAAATAATTAATTAAATATAATTTCTCCTTTATCTTACTCCAAGCTTGTTTATGTGGGGAGGTAAGTAAGACCATCTCATCTTTATGTTGTATCACAATGCTTTCCCATATCATACAAACTGGCTTTGAAAATTTATGGCATTCAAATTGCTAATCTACTATTTGTCTCTGATAACTCAATTAAATACTACCTGATATTTTACAGCTGTATTCTTGAAATAATGTAATGAAACATTTATTCCATTAATTATTTATTGAGCTATTAAAGAACATATCTTTCTATTTAAAGTAAAAGAAGAGGGATACAGACAACTGTATTTTCTGAGAATGTAGGATCTGTGCCAAGAACAGGATCAGCACCTGTGTTATACAGAAGAACCCGGTCAAAATAGTATCTAATTGTGAATTACAAGATGATGGATTACCAAGATTTCAAAACAGGAAAGCTGACAGCCCAGAGTTCATCTTTTCCTTCCTGGATGGTGAAATTTATGGATGAGTCTATGCTTTATAATAAGTTAATAAAACACAATGAAGTAACGAGTAGACAGCTGATCCTATGACCAAGATTTGATGGAAACGGATGTGGGAGGCACTGAGTGAGAGACGAAAGATATGAATGGAGAAAAGAAACAGGACTCTATCTTTTTGAGTCTGACTTCTCATCATATCATGGAGTCAGCAAGGGATAAGCTGGTAAAAGGCTCCTTCAAGAAGCAAAAAATTTCTACAGGAATAAAGTTAAGTTCTACTACACTTTTATTAGTACATAAGTGAGTGGTAAATTTACAAGACGACTAGGGAAGAATTCTCATAAAATTTGGGCAGTGACATCAGGATAGTCATATAGATAAATGTATTAGAATTGACCATCTAAAAATAAACTGTCACGTTATGGTGAATTGATTTTCAAGAAGGGTGTCAATTAAATGGAATAAGAATAGTCTTTTTAACAAATCGTAGTGGGACAAAGTAATAAAATTAGACCTCTACCTCATAGCATATATACAAAATTAACTCCAAATATAAGAGCTATAATTATAAAACTCTTAGAAAAAAACATATCATTTGTGACTGGATTTGGCAACGGTTTCTTAGGACACCAAAAGAAAAAACAGATTAAGTATATTTCATCAAAATCAAAAACTTCTTTGCTTCAAATGTCACCATCAAGAAAGTGAAAAGGCAAGCTACTGAATAAGAGAAAATATTTGAAAAGCCTATATCTGATAAGGGATTTGTATTTAGGATATATATAAATAACTCTTACAATAATGAAAAGACAATCCAATAAAGAAATGGTCAAAACAATTGATTCATTCTTTAAGGAAGATATAGAAATGGGTAATAACCACATAAAAAGATGAGATACTCAACATCATTAGTTTTTGTTTAGTTTTTTTTTTTCTAACATTTTATTTGTTTCTTTGACAGAGAGAGAGAGCACAAGCAGGGGGAGCTGCAGAGGGAGACGGAGAAACAGGCTACCCGCTGAGCAGGGAGCCAGATGTGGGGCTCAATCCCAGGACCCTGGGGTCATGACCTGAGCCAAAGGCAGACGCTTAACTAATTGAGCCATCCAGGTGCCCCTCAACATCATTAGCTTTAAGAAAAATGCAAATCAAAGCCACAAGATTGATGGAACTCATCAAGTGTATTATGCTACACCAAACAAGTCAGTCAGAGAAAAACAAATCCTTATGATTTTACTCATATGTGGAATTTAAGAAACAAAACAGATGAACACAGGGGAAAGGGGGAAAAAAGAAGAGAAAGGGAGGCAAACCATAAAAGACTCTTAACTATAGAGAAAAAACTAAGTGTTGCTGTAGTGGAGGTGGATGGGGGGTGGGCTAAATGAATGATGTACTTGTTGTGATGAGCACTGGGTGTTGTATGTAAGTGATGAATCACTAAAGTCTACTCCTGAAACCAATATGTTAACTAACTAGAATTTTAAAACTTTAAACAAACAAACAAAAAACCCCACAAGATGCCGTTTCCTACCCACTACGATGGCTATAATAAAAACAACAGATAATGGCAAACATTGGCAAAAATCAGGAAAAATGAGAACGTTCAAACACTGCTGATGAAAATGTAAAATGGTGCAGCCATGTTGGAAAACAGTGTGGCAGTTCCTCAAAGGGTTAAAAGAAAAGGTTAAAGAGAGTTACCATATGACCCAGCAATTCCATTTGTAAGTATATACCCAAGAGAAATGAAAACATGTTCACACAAAAACTTGTACATGTGTGTGTACAATAGCATTATTAACAACAGCCAAAAAGCAAAACAATCTAAAGGTCTACCAACTGATAAATGAATAAATAAAATGTGGTATGTCTGTATGGTGGGATATTATTCAGTAATAAAAAGAAATAAAGTACTGACACATGCTACAAAATAGGTATATCTTGAAAATATTATGCTAAATGAAAGAAGGCAGTCACAAAGGACCACCTACTGTGTGATTCCATTGATATGAAATGTCCAAAATAGGCAAATTTATAGAGACAGAGAGTAAGTAGTGGTTCCCTAGGGCTAAGGAGAGTAGGGAAGGGGAAACTAGCATAGGGTGAGAGGTAAAAGGTACAGGCCTTCTTTACAGGGTGACAAAAATGTTCTAAAATTGATTGTGGTACTCTTTGAATATGCATATTACATTCATTTTATCTCAATAAAGCTGTTACCAAAAAAAAAAATGTAGCACGTATATAAAATTAATAGAAAACATTTCATTGCTCAAAGCACTGAGTGACTTATTTCCCAAAATTAAATGATTTTGGAGTCCCAAAACTAATTAAAAATTACCTTCTGTTTTAGCATATTAATCTGACTATCCATTTCAATTTGATTGGTTTTTGAATTTCCAGGGAAAGTAAGCTCTCCACCTTCATATTCACTTAACTTTCTCCTTGTCACGTTTAAGAGTTTCTTAAATCTGCGGAAGGTATAGAATGAGTAAGTCAGGTTCTTCAAGAGTAAATATTTAATAAATGTTTAAATATACAATATGTTCTATCATATAAACAAATCTATAAATTATGATCTCTCATTTGTCCCAATCTCACATTGTTTAAGAAGATACTAAATTACAATCTCAGGTAAAAAATATGAAGAAAATTTTTATGATACAAGTGGCAGAATTAGTTAACTAAATTACGAGTTCTTATACATAAGTTATTAATATTTATTCTCAGTATGTTAATATAATAATCTATTATTAAATAGTGACTATAAACCAGAGACCAGTATCCAAGGTGAAGAAAAAAAGCATACTTATCCATGAATGTTTTAAAAAGACACAAAAATACATTTTGGTACCCACTAACCACAGTCTACAAGAAGAAAAGAAAATACATGCAAAAAACATCAAAAGAGATCACTCACAAAAAAACAAGAAAGAAAAATCTTTAAAGTCTGAGTTGAGAGGAAAAATGAAGAGACAAAGCTTTAGAAGAAAGGAAATCAGCAAAGAGATAATGTGTGATGGTCTATGAGACTGTTTTAGGAAAGAAGTCACATATCTTGGCTAGGATACTGTTAACAAAGTGAAAGGGTTGCAAAACAATGCAGAGAAAGACAGTTAAATGAGAGAATATCAGAGAACAAATTTAAGTACTCAGCAAAAAAACAGAAAGGGAGCCCTGTGGGAGCTACAGACATTGGAAAAAACTTTTTTTTTTTTTTAATCTGAGTGGTAAAAGCATGATTGCTAATTTTATTCTTCTTTAAGTCAGACATATATTTTTCTCTGTATATTTTATAATTAAAAAATGCAGAAAGAAAATATAAGCAAGTTGAATCAAAAAAGATGGTGTAGGAGTAGGAGAGCTTAGTTTTGTCTGGTCCGGAACTCACTCGACAGCTATAAAATGATTTTGAACACCTGTGAACTCAACCGGAGATCTAAGAAAAGAATTGCCGCAATTCTACAAATAGAAAAGCGACCACATTTGGAGAGGGTATGTGTTGTGGTGACCGTTGTGTATTATGTAAGACTGATGAATCACAGATCTGTACCCCTGAAACAAATAATACACTGTATGTTAGTAATAAAAAAAAAAAAAAAGAAAAGCAACCACTTTCTGCAAGTCTTTTTTAACTTGCATTTTTACAATTACGTTCTATCCTTTCATTGTATTTAATTTTATTTTTGTATATATATAAGTTTTTCTTTCTTTACAATTTTGGGATGTACTTTTCTAACAGACCAAAATACACACAGGATCCAGTGTATTTCTCTGTTCTATTCACCTGATTATATTCTTTTTTTTTTTTTTTTTTTTTTTTTGGTTCTGGGTCTCTTCTAATTTGTTTAGTGTATATTTCACTGGGGTTGTTGTTGCTCTTTTAGTATTTTGTTCGCTCATTCATCTATTCTCTGGACAGAATGACAAGACGTAAAAACTCAGCTCAAATAAGAGAACTAGAGGCAGTAATGACTGCCAAGGACCTAATCTGTATGGATATAAGAGGTCAGAACTAGAGTTCAGAATAAAGATGATAAAGATACTACCTGGGCTTGAAAAAAGTATAGAAGTCACTAGAGAATCCCTTTCTGAAGAAATAAAAGAACTAAAATCTAATCAAGTCGATATCAAAAAGGCGATTAATGAGATGCAATCAAATATAGAGGCTCTAAAAAAAATAGAGGCTCTAACTGAGAGGATAAACGAGGCAGAAAGGAGAAGTAGTGATATAGAAGACAAAATGAGAGAGAATAAAGAAGCTGAGGAAAAAGAGAGATAAACGACTGGATCACGAGGTGAAATTTCAAGAGATAAGTGATACCATAAAGCGAAACAATAGTAGAATAATTGGGATCCCAGAAGATGAGGAAGGGGGGGTGGCAGAAGGTATATTTGAGAGATTATGGCAGAGAACCTCCCTAATCCGGGGAATGAAAGAGGCATTCAAATCCAGGAGGCACAGAAAACCCCCTTCAACATCAATAAAAACAGGTCAACATCTCGACATATAGTAGTAAAGCCTGCAAATTTCAGAGACAAAGAGAAAATCCTGAAAGCAGCTCAGCACAAGAGGCCCTTAACCAACAAGGGTAGAAACATTAGACTGGCAGCAGACCTAACCACAGAGACCTGGCAGGCCAGAAAGGACTGGCATGATATATTCAGGGTGCTAAACGAGAAAAATATGCAGCCAAGAATACTGTATTTATCCAGCAAGGCTGTCATTCAAACTTGAAGGAGAGATAAAGAGTTTCCAGGACAAACAGAAACTAAAACATTTGTGATCACCAAACCAGCCCTGCAAGAAATATTAAAGGGGATCCTTTATGCAAAGAGAGAGCCCCAAAGTAACACAGACCAGAAAGGAACACAGACAATATACAGAAACAGTGATGTTACAGTAGTACAATGGCACTAAATTCATATCTATCAATAGTTACCCTGAATTTAAATGGGCCAAATGCCCCAATCCAAAGATGCAGGGTATCAGATTGGAAAAAAAGCAAGACCCATCAATATGCTGTCTGCAAGAGACTCATTTTAGACCCAAGGACACCTCCAGATTGAAAGTGAGGGAGTGGAAAACCATCTGTCATGCTAATGGACATCAAAAGAAAGCTGGGGTAGCAATCCTTGTATCAGACAAATTAGATTTTAAACCAAAGACTGTAATAAGAGATGAGGAAGGACACTATCATAATGAATTAAAGGGGTCTATCCAACAAGAAGACTTAACAATTGTAAATATTTGTGCCCCTAACATGGGAGCAGCCAATGACATAAACCAATTAATAACAAAATTAAAGAAACACATTGATGATGATACAATAATAACAGTGAATGACACACCGGACTATGGGAAACAGAATGCCACAACAACCACTGGTGCATGTTCGTTCAGACTCCGAGATCTCTGAGAAAACTCGAAATTGCATGGTTAAAAATAAGCTGAAAGGATCTGAGTGAAATGCCCTTGGGACGTGTGCGGTCTGTTCTAAAGTACACAGCAGAAGATGTTTTGTAGATAGGAACCCACCTGTAAATAGCACACTGTGCACTCCCCTCTTTGTTCCCTGGCCCTGTAAATAGCACACTGTGCACTCCCCTCTTGGTTCCCTTGTCCTGCTTTAAAGATTCTTATCATACACGCGGGACTAATCCTATGTACATGGAAGAATATGCCTTACTAAGTCCCTGCTGTAAATCATTATAGATCTATATCGCTGTAGAAGGTATATAAGATTATGGAAAATAAACCTCGGGACCTTGGGCTGCTTGCTCGGGGGTCCCCTGTGCCTCACTCTACTGTCGTCTCTTTTCCTCAGTTCCTTCGCCACGCCACGTCCACGACTCTCCAAGGTCGACACTCGACCAGAAGGACTTCACAGATATATTCAGAGCATTCCAGCCACAGAATACACATTCTTCTGGAGCGCACATGGAACTTTCTCCAGAAGAGATCACATATCGTCACAAATCAGGTCTCAACCGGTACCAAAAGTATGGGATCATTCCCTGCAGAGTTTCAGACCACAACGCCTTGAAACTTGAACTCAATCACAAGAGGAAATTCAGAAAGAACTCAAATACATGGAAGTTAAAGAGCATCCTATTAAAGAATGAATGGGTCAACCAGGAAATTAAAGAGGAATTAAAAGAATTCACGGAAACCAAGGAAAATGAAAACACAACTGTTCAAAACCTTTGGGATGCAGCAAAGGCAATCCGGGGAGGGAAGTATAGAGTGACAACAGCCTTCCTCAAGAAACAAGAAAGGTCCTAAATACACAACCTAACCTTACACCTAAAGGAGCTGGAGAAAGAACAGCAAATAAAGCCGAAACCCAGGAGGAGAAGAGAATTAATAACGTTCAGAGCAGAAATCAATGAAATAGCAACCAAAAGAACAGTAGAACACAGCAACAAAACCAGGAGCTGGTTCTTTGAAAGAATTAATAGGATTGATAAACCCCTGGCCAGACATAGCAAAAAGAAAAGAGAAAGGATCCAAGTAAATAAAATCATGAATGAAAGAGGAGAGATCACAACCAACACCAAGCAAATACAAACAATTTTAAAGAACATATTAGGAACGACGATATGACAACCAACGAGGCAATCTGGAAGAAATGGGTGCACTCCTAGAGACGTATAAACTACCAAAACTGAAACAGGAAGAAACAGAAAACCCGAACAGACCCACAACCAGCAAGGAAATTGAAGCAGTAATCAAAAATCTCGCAACAAACAAAACTCCAGGGCCAGATGCCTTCCGTGGGTATTTCTAACAAACACTTAAAGAAGAATTAATGCCTCTTCTTCTGAAGCTGTTTCAAAAAATAGAAATGGAAGGAAAACTTCCAAACTCTATGAGGCCAGCATTACCTTGATCCCAAAACCAGACAAAGACCCCACCAAAAAGGAGAATTACAGACCAATATCCCTGATGAACACGGATGCAAAAATTCTCATCAAGATACTCACCAATAGGAGCCAACAGTACATTAAGAGGATTATTCACCACAACCAAGTGGGACTTATTCCTGGGTTGCAAAGGTGGTTCAACATCCGCAAATCAATAATCAGTGTGATATGGTACATTAATAAAAGAAAGGACAAGAACTATATGATCCCCTGAATAGATGTACAAAAAGCATTTGACAAAGTACAGCATGCTTTCTTGATTAAAACTCTTCATGGGGCGCCTGGGTGGCTCAGTCGGTTAAGCAGCTGCCTTCGGCTCAGGTCATGATCCTGGGGTCTTGGGATCGAGCCCCGCATCCGGCTCCCTGCTCAGCAGAAAGCCTGCTTCTGCCTCCCCTTATGCCTGCCGCTCTGTCTACTTGTGCTCTCTATCTCTCTGTCAAATAAATAAATAAAATCTTTAAAAAAAAAAAAAAAAACTCTTCACGATGCAGAGATAGAGGGCACATACCTCAATACTATAAAAGCCATGTATGAAAAGCCCACGGCAGAGATCATTCTCAATGGGGAGAAACTGCGAGCTTTTCCCCTAAAGTCAGGAACACGGCAGGGATGTCCACTTTCACCACTGTTGTCCAACATAGTACTAGAAGTCCTAGCCTCAGAAATCAGACAATGAAAAGAAATAAAACATATGGGAATCGGCAAAGAAGAAGTCAAACTCTCACTCTTCGCAGGTGACGTAATACTCTATGTGGAAAACCCAAAAGACTCCACCCCCAAATTGCTAGAACTCATACAGGAATTCAGCAAAGTAGCAGTATATAAAATCAATGCACAGAAATCAGTTGCATTTCTATACACTAACAATGAGACAGAAGAAAGAGAAATTAAGGAGTTGAACCCATTTACAATCGCACCAAAAACCGTAAGATACCTAGGAATCAACCTAACCAAAGAGGCAAAGGATCTATACTCTGAAAACTAAAGAACACTCTTGAGAGAAACTGAGGAAGATGCAAAGAAATGGAAAAACACTCCATGTTCATGGATTGGAAGAACAAATTTGTTAAAATGTCTATGCTACCGCTACCCAGAGCAATCTGCATTCAATGCAATCTCTTTCAAAATACCATCAACTTATTTCACAGAGCTGAAACCAATCATCCTAAAATTTGTACGGAGCCAGAAAAGACCCCGAATAGCCAAAGGAATGCTGAAAAAGAAAGCCAAAGCTGGTGGCATCACAATTCCGGACCTCAAGCTCTGTGACAAAGCTGTAATCATCAAGACAGTATGGTACTGGCACAACAACAGACACATTGGACAATGAAACAGAACAGAGAACCCAAGAAACGGACCCTCAACTCTATGGTCAACTAATCTTCGACAAAGCAGGAAAGAACAGCCAATGGAAAAAAGACAGTCCCTTCAACAAATGGTGTTGGGAAAAGTGGACAGCCACACACAAAAGAATGAAACTGGACCATTTTCTTACACCATACACAAAAATACACTCAAAATGGATGTAAGACCTAAATGTGAGACAGGAACCCATCAAAATCCTGGAGGAGAACACAGGCAGCAACTTCTGTGACCTGGGCCGCAGCAACTTCTTGCTAGACACGTCTCCAAAGGCAAGGGAAACAAAGACTTCATCAAGATAAAAAGCTTTTGCACAGCAAAGGAAGCGGTCGACAAAACCAAAAGACGACTGACAGAATGGGAGAAGATATTTGCAAATGACATGTCAGATAAAGGGCTAGTATGCAAAATCTATATAGAAAGAACTTATCAAACTCAACACCCAAAGAACAAATAATCCACTCAAGAAACGGGTGGAAGATGTGAACAGACATTTCTCCAAAGAAGACATTCAAATGGTCAACAGACACTTGAAAAAATGCCCAACATCACTCGGCATCAGGGAAATAAATACAAATCAAAACCACAATGAGATATCACCTCACACCTGTTGGAATGGCTAAAATGAACAAGTCAGGAAACAACAGATGTTGGCGGGGATGCAGACAACGGGGAATCCTCTTACACTGCTCGTGGGAATGCAAGCTGGGACAGCCACTCTGGAAAACAGTATGGAGGTTCCTCAAAAAGTTGAAAATAGAGCTACCCAACGACCCAGCAATTGCACTACTAAGGATTTACCCCAAAGATACAAATGTAGTGATCCGAAGGGGCACCTGCACCCCAATGTTTATAGCAGCAATGTCCACAATAGCCAAACTGTGGAAAGAGCCCTGATGTTCCTTGACAGGTGAATGGATAAAGAAGATGTGTAGATATATACAATGGACTATTACTCAGCCAATAAAAAAAATGAAATCATGCAATGATGTGGATGAAACTAGAGGCTATTATGCCAAATAAGTCAGTCAGAGAAAGATAATTATCATTTGATTTCACTTCTATGTAGAATTTAAGAAACAAAACAGAGGAGCATAATGGAAGGGAGGGGAAAATAAAACAAGATGAAATTAGAGTGGGAGACAAATCTCAAGAGACTCTTAATCATAGGAAACAAACTGAGGGTTGCTGGAGTGGAGGAGGGGAGAAGGATGGGGTAACCGGATGATGGACATTAAGGAGGGCCCCTAATGTAATTAGCACTGGGTGTTATATAAGACTGATGAATCACTGAACTCTACCTTGGAAATTAATATACTTTATGTCAGTTAACTGAATTTAAATTTAAAAAATAATATTAAAAAAAGAAAATATAAGCTAAACCAAGATAACTTTTGATATGATTAAATATTAACACAGGTTTTTAGATATTAAAGTACTTGTTGGAAGAGAAAGACACTATTAAAAGGAAGTATTACCAAAGAATAAAGATATCTTGCAGAAACTCTTCAAGATGGACAATGAAAATTACAGTTGTTATTGTTAAAGGAACTGTTGTAATTATTTAAGGAATCATTAAAGATTAAGTGTAATATTTTGAGAAGTATTTGTATTTAATAAAGTAAAATTACACTTAAATCAGTTAATTAATGGTTAAAATTATCTGAAATATTACAGTCTTACCTAGTAATCTCTTTTTCTAATTCACCATTTTTCTTCATTTCTTGATCCAAACTACATTCCAGACGTTCTTTCAACTCAATAAATTTCTTTATCTGTCCCTTTTCATCATCAGAATTTGAAAAAAATTTTTAAAGAAAATTATAATTTAAAGATCTAGATACTCATTCTTCTCTCACAAAATATTATTTCTCATGAATTCATAAGTAATAACGTCTTTAGAAAGGCTCATATACTACATTTTATAAATTTCATAAATTTATAATTTTAAATTTATATGTTGTTTAAAATTTATAATTATAAGTTTTATATAATATAGTTTTATAAACCTGATGCCAATAAATACAAATTTCAAATATAAGGACCTTTCTTAAAAACAGCTTAAACTGATTTTACATTTTCATCATTATTTTTTCTAGAATTGAAATTGCCAAAATTTACTTGTTAAATACAGAGGTTCTTACCATATTAACTAAGTGTTAATGAAAAATTTTAAAAAGTGGTTATATTTACATTTTAGTTTCTAAAGATGCCCTAGAAACATTTTCATCCATAGCTTAAAATACTCTGGGTTTTGTGAGATCATACCTTTCGAAGATAATCTCTGAAAAATTCCTATGCAGTCCCCATTACAGTTTTGATGATCGTCTGACTTTAGAATGAGATACTCTCCTTCTCTGCAAGCATTGCAAGCATCTCCGCAAGGTTTCAATTTCTTCTTTTCTATTAACTACCTTTCTCTTTAAATAAAGTTTAAGTCTTCTCCATATTACATAAAAACTTTTGCTTCACTCTTGCAGCTTTTTCTATCATCCTGCTTCTCCCCTTTCACTGGACTTGAGCATTCTTTAATGTGTCATCTCATCCACAGATTCATCTTTCCAACACTTATTTTCTTCTTTTACACTAACATCGGGAGTTTCAATCCTGGAATTCCACTAAAAACTTTTGAGGGTCATCAAGGATCTTTTTTTTAAAGTCTTTATCCTGCTTTACTTCTCAGCAACAGCTGAAAACAATGACCATACCCTCCCTCTGCTCTCTAATCCCATTTTATTTCTAAATGACAGCAACCGCGGTTAGTCCCTGACCTTTGCTATTCCTTTTATCAAATCCTCTCAGAGTTGGTTAAATCTCAAGGCTTCAAAACCAGATTCTCTAATCTACATTTCCAGCCTTGACCCCTTTACTGAGGTCATCTCTACTTTTTGATCTTCCTTCTCGTTCCTCATAGACAATATTCTCAACCACACACTCAAAAACCATTACCTGATGTGGATTACCTTTATAGACAGATAATTTTTTAAAAATTTATTTATTTGAAATAGAGAGTGCATGAATAGGGGGAAGGAGCAGAGGGAGAGGGAGAAGCAGACTCCCAGCTGAGCAGGGCTCGATCTCAGGACCCTGAGATCATGGTCTGAGCCGAAAGCAGGCGCTTAACTGACTGAGCCACCCGGGTACCCCTAGACAGCTAACTTTGTACATTTTATGTTGACTCTTTTTGGTATTACTTTGAGTGTATTGTTATTTTGTCATCTCAGGGGGCACCCTTACCCTTAGGATGCTGACCACCATACTCTGTCTTGCTTTTCTTTTCTGATGCAAATGTTTCTCCCAAGGGTCAGACTATCAATTGTTTGCCTTTGTTTTCTTTTGAATAATTTCCTATTCCATAGAGATTGGATCTTATGGAAGTCTTCTTCTGAAGTTCTTTTCAGACACATACTTGACTATACTGTTTGGAAGCTTAAGTCAGCCTAGAGCTATCTCTTCTTCCCAATCCAGACTTCACCTCAAAACTATGTCCATCAAATATCTTAACCCAGGTAGTCTCTGGCCTGGGGATTCATGAGATAAAATCCTTCTAGAGATGTTAGGACTATGGACTGAGTTGGTTGAAAGCTAAGTGTTTGTTTCACAGGGTAGACCTGAAAGTGGCTAATAATTTTATGTCACAACCCTAATTCATTTCCATTGGAATCTACAGAATACCTACGGATATTCTTACAAACTTTACAAGATTTGATAGCTTCCTTAATAGATTTCTATATGACACCGTAGGGGGACAACTCCTGGCATTCTCATTCACATTTCGTCACGTTACTTGCTCAATGAAAACTACAGTAATACAATGTGACTAATTTATAGGAAATCTAGAAAAAAAATAATTTTTGATTCCCATGCAGTCCCCATTACAGTTTTGATGATCGTCTGACTTTAGAAACTTTCGATGTTTCTTTGGCCACAAAAAGGACCAGTCAACAGAATGTGCTAGTTCCCCTGATAGGTATAGCTGTATAATGAAATTTGCAAGGATGCAGCTTCTGTGACTAAAAGTAACTAGTGGTAGGTGCATCTACCTCATTGTTCCAACCTAGGACTCACAATGCAGTCTTCTCATCTTAAATCATTGGTAGCCTCTCCTATGAAGGAGGGTATAAATGGCATGATAATCCGGTTCTGCTTGGTAAACAGTTATATAGTTTTCACTACGTATCAATAAGTTGTAATCCCGGATTGCACATTAATCTTTTCTGAGATTCGATTGCTAAATCTCTGAAAGGCTGATTAACTCAAATTAATGAAAAAAAAAAAAGTTCCTGAACTTGCAGTGAATGCTAGGAGCACTATGTTACTATGTAAGGCCCTGATTGAGCAGTCATTTCCACTTTTTCACTGGCATCTCTTTTCCTTTTCAAAATCCAACAAAGAGAAAAATATATTCCTTTGAGAAAAATGTTTGCATAATGACCTAGTAGTCATTCTTGATGAAGACAACAAATTACAAATTTATAATTACAAATCACAACAAATTATCATGAAAGTAATCCATTCTCAAATCTCACTGAAGGGTTTAGATTACAAGAGAAAGTCAGAATTCAAGATCAAATTATGACTCAAAGTTTCAGAATTTTTAAACATACTGAAAAATATTAGTAGGGACTCGGACGTTTGTATGCCAATATTCACAGCAGCATTATTAACAATAGCCAAAAGGTGGGAAAACTCAATTGTCCACTGCCAGATAGATAAATAAAATGTGGCATGTATAAAATATTGCTTATCTTAGACTACCACAATCTTTTTTATTACAATCTTACTATAAAAATTATTACTTTACGAATTCAGTCAACTTCATCTATAAAGAGGAATTATACTACCAGTAGCAAGTAGCAACAATATGAATACAATAAACATTTTTATTAGTGAGAATTTTCATATTATCCAAAATGGTCTTATATACTACTACTAGAGAAATAAAAATTCCTTTTCAGTAGGACAGAAATTAAGAGACTGACTTACCAAACTTGTACTTAACAGGTTTTCCTGAAGTTGTTCAATTTTGCGCGCTTGGTTTTTGACTGTAACTTTTAACTTCGCATTTTCAACTTCAAGCCTAAAATGAGTATTTTAAAATTTATCTCACACATAAATTTTAAAACTACCGTATAATTTCTAAACAAACATCTGACTGTCTTACATAAATTCTTAAAAATTTTCAAAGTAGAAGATTTGGCAATTGTGCCATTTTTCTGGTTGTGTTTTATAGTTAATGTGCAAAACTTAAAGATAATATGCAAAATTTATGCATTTCCAAATAGTGCAAAGCTGAAATTTTTATCCAGCTTAACAATGATGTAATTATCATAACTGATATATTTCTCATTCTACACTGCTTCTCTGTTTTATAAATACTCAAGTTATTTTCTGTGCTGCTTTAAATTGTACTTTTGCATGTGATCTTTCGACGTCTCAATACATCTTACAGCCTCTGCATGTCGATCTTGTGCTTCTTGCAACTAAAAAAGAAAAAAAAGAAATACTTTTAACTACTGGCAATCTAGTATAAAACCACCATCAGCTGTTTTTGTAAATAAAATTTTAGTGGACACAGCCACACTCTCCTCTACATACTGCTTTATGGCTACAGCAGATTTGAACTGCTGCAACAGAGACCTATGGCCTATGAAGCCTAAAATATTTACAGGGAGTCTGCTTCTCTCTATCTCTCCCTTTGCCCTTCCCCACTGTTCCTTCTCTCTCTCAAATAAATAAAATCTTAAAATAAAATATTTACAATCCCCTTACAGAAAAGTTTGCTGACTTCTCTAGTTACTAAAATGTCACATTTTTAATGTTTTTAAATTATATTTTATCAGCTAAATCTACGAATTTATATATTGGTCAAAGGGGGAAAGATAGGAAATTACCTTATGGTAAACATTTCTATTTTTGTATTCGAAGTACCACATCAATTATACCTTTAAATATTCACATATGTGATGACCATGGCTGTTCCAGTGATTATAAAAGTTAACATGTTGCTTTCAGTGACAACTAGATATTTCATGGAATAGTATGAGAGGCATTATCTTCGTAGGAACCAGAATGCCTGGGGTCTGAATCCCAACTCACTAGGTATTAGCTGTGTGACCTGGAAAAAATTACTTAAAATTTCTGTGTCTCAGCTTCTTCTCTGTAAAATGAAGATAATAATAGTATCTACCACACTGGCATGTTGGGAAGATTAATTTAGGAAATTTACATGAACTATTTTTTTTATTTTTATTTTTTAAAGATTGTATTTATTTGACAGGGAGAGAGACAGCGAGAGATGGAACACAAGCAGGGGGCATGGGAGAGGGAGAAGCAGGCTTCCTGCGGAGCAGAGAGCCCAATGCCACACTTGATCCCAGGACCCTGGGATCATGACCTGAGCCAAAGGCAGACACTTAACAACTGAGCCACCCAGGTGCCCCTATACATGAACTATTTAGAAGGGCATGTGGCACACACCAAATTCTGTCTGCAATTAGCATTATTATTGTTGCTGTAGGTTATGTTCTAATAATATTTCATATTTTAGGCAGATGGCAGGCCAATGAAAGTGGTCTCTTATACAAGTTACACTGAAATCGTTCTTCATACCACTGAAAGTGGCAGCAAATGGAGAGCATGAGGCCCAGAATACATCCTCCATACTTCAAAAAACTTTTACCAATTCCACTAGCTAACAGTACTTTTTTCCACTTATAATAATTTTAACTTACTGCCTCTCTATACTACTCAGTGGACAATCTCATGGACTACAGGGTAAATAGTACCTCCTAGACTGAGTAATAAATATTTACATGACCATCAGAGGCAAGGTAAAGCCACTGACGTGGAAATAATGGACTCTTGCTAAATCAACATTCCCAAATCATTTCATGTTTATATTATCTTAGCAACCGTCTGTGTTACACTGTGTTACACTGTGTTACACTGTGTAAGTGTAAAGTTACGCTGCTTTAGCAAGTACTCTGATGAATACATTAAGGCTATGTGATATGGCATATGAGAAAAAACTGTCCCCAGGGGCGCCTGGCTGGCTCAGTGGGAAGAACGTGACTCTTGACTTTGGGCTCATGAGTTCAAGCCCCACGATGGGTGTAGAAATTACATAAATAAATAAATACACAAACAAACAAACTTTAAAAAAGAAAGGTTAAAAAAAAAAAAAAGAAAGACAAGCTGTGCCCGGAGCTTTATAGTTGGTAAAGTAATCTCAGTACTGGCTGCAAAATGAAGAAAGGCAAATTTAGACGGCTCTTCCACAGTGAGGGGGGAGAAACAAGCATTTGATTGAACACTTCTCCTCTGTCAGATTAAATGCTTTCAATTTTACATTGAATTGCTTAAAATACATTTAGAATAAAAGCTTTGTTATGTCAATGCTTTCAATCAGAAATTATTGATATGGTATGAATACTTAATTTTATCCTAAACACTGTTAAGTTAAAATATTCTCAATTTATACAAGGATAGGTACCATGCATATCCCATATTTTCCCCCTTAGATAAATGTGTACGTAGACAAAATTCTCTCTCATGAAAAAAATAAAACCAATGTAAAATCAAGGACTAAATTGTTCTGCATAGACTAGATGAGACACGTGTGAAGAGATTAAAGTCAGTGGGAATTAGAATAGTCAGAGAGAGCTTCATGGAGAATGAGAGACTATGAGCCAGGTCTGAATAGTGTAAGATTACGCAAGAGGAAGGGAAACTAAAAGGACAGAAAGGACAGCATGAGTAAAAGGCTGAGAGATGGTGAAATCAACCCAATTAACTCAGAGGATAAAATCTGATGGCAGGGAAATAAAAACAGATGTCCAGACAATTAAATCAATGTTCAGAGCAGCATTATTAATGGCCATAAAGTGGGAAACAACCCAAAGGTGCATCAAATGATGAATGAACAAGGGTTTTGGCCCACAATGGAGTACTGTTGGACAATTAAAAAAAAAAATGAAGCACTGATATATGCTATAACACAGATGAACCCTGAAAACATTAAGTGAAAGAAGCTAGTCACAAAGGACCACACACTGTGTGACCCCCCTTTATATGAAATATTCAGAATAGGCCACTCTATAGAGGGTGGAAGTAGACTGGTGGTTGCCTGAGGCTGGGGGCTCAAGGGCTAAGGGTTTCTTTTCAGGGTGATGAAAATGTTCTACTTGATGGCAGTGATAGTTGCACAACCCTATGAATATGATCAGAAACACTGAACTATACATGTTAACTGGGTGAATTGTATGGTATGTGCATTATATCTCAATAAAGTTTTAAAAAAATCCAATGGGGGCGCCTGGGTGGCTCAGTCATTAAGCGGCTGCCTTCGGCTCAGGTCATGGTCCCAGGGTCCTGGGATCAAGCCCCACATCAGGCTCCTTGCTTGGCGGGAAGCCTGCTTCTCCCTCGCCCACTCCCCCTGCTTGTGTTCCCTCTCTCGCTGTGTCTCTCTCTGTCAAATAAAATCTTAAAAAAAAAAAAAAAAAACAACGGCAGGACCCATTCTTAATTTCTTAATTCTCTCTTTTGGGTGTATATACCACACATGATCTGAATATTTCTATGCATTTACAATATATCTAAAAGGAAAAGAAAATGAAGGAAACGCCTAAGTTCAACTGGTTTGTAAAATGACTTTTCTGTACAAGTTATCCTAAATTCAGTACAGATTCTATATCCGTTCATAAAAGTGAACATGAGAAATAAGACCATTGTCTGAAACATTCCATTAAAGATTATCTTCTGATTTTGTATGGCTCACCTCATCATGGTAACAGAGATATCATTAAAAAACATTGCACCTGGGTGGCTCAGTTGGTTAAACATCCAACTCATGATTTCAGCTCAGGATCATGGAATCGAGCTGGCGCAGGGCTCTGTACTGGGCAGGGAGTCTGCTTGAGATTCTCTCCCTCTCCCTCTGCCTCTCCCCCAACTCATGTGTGTGCATGCGCACGCGCTCTCGCTCTCTCTCAAATACTACATAAATCTTTAAAAAAATTGTACAGTAGGAAAAAAAACTCCCTCAATTTCTGTGAGGAATGATGAATAAGTTTCAACTTTCCTAAGGGTAAATACTGTAAGAAAAAAAAATGTATAACACAAATAGCAGAATGAAAGTCAAAGTTTAAGAAATAAGTGCATTGTGAAGATACTAAAATTACACTAAAATATAATGAAAATACAAAAGAAAATGGTTCATAGAAATTAGCATCCTAAAACACTTTGTATTAACCTGCTACAGATTAACTGTTGACATGCTACATCTAATACATACCTGACTTCTGATTTGACCTAATTTCTTCCTCAAATTCTGTGTCTCATCTTCAAAATTAATACGGCAACGTGATGTAACCTCCAGCGAAGCCTCTGACATAGATTGTTTTTTTAGGGAATCAGCCAGTTCTAGTTGAAGGTGTCTCACCGTTACCTAATAAGACGTTTCTGTTACTGATTTTATAAATTATCTTATATGAAGTTATGTTAATAATATATAACTCTAACATATGTACTTCGAAAAATATCACCACATACAGGTCTTATCCTCTTGCCTAGTCAGTGTTATGTTACTTAGATAATTAATTCAGCCCCACTCTCCATTCCTTGTTGATGAATCTGCAAAGCTTCCCACCCTACTGAAGTCTCAAAAAGAAATGGGTATATAGGTGGGGCTAGCAGTGGTAAATTCTACATGATGACATGGTTTCCCTCTTTTTTATTAGAGGCTTAAATTAATGTCAAAGTTCCTCACATATTCAATCCTCTGCTCAAATCCTTCCAATAGATTACTATCTCAGAACAAAAGTGAAGTCATTCTAATGGGCTTCAAGGCCCTAGATAACCTGGCTTTCACCTCCCTCCCTGACCTCCATTCCTGCTACAGTACAAGAATCCTGCCACCCCCCATTAGTCTGAAAATGGAGATCCAATGCCAAGTTAATATATTACAGATACAATTCTCTTTGTATTGGACAAACTTATGCCCAAATGATAGTCATTGAGCTTTGAAATAAGCAAATTATTTGTAAAATTGCCTTAAAAAATTATAAATAGCTGTGGGAAGATTAAATCAAACAGTTTTGCTAAAGCTCTCCACAGTTGTCCCAAATTACGATTTAATGAAAAGTGCCTGCAAAGGGTTAAAAGGTCATAAGATACATGATTTCAGACTAAAAATTCAAATTTATATAAATAAAAATAAAATTATTTCAACCTAAAATGTATAAAAAGCTACCAAAGGAGAAGTACTGAGATACAGCGTCTACACTTCAGTTCATGTGGGAAATCTGGAGTAAACCGTCAAGTGAATCCACTTAATTGAATCTCAGTTTCAACATGCTCATTGCAGGTATGAACATTTCCATTTATCTGTTCATCATGGTATTAAAATGTGGTAACAAAGATTAAAATTATTATTTTGCAGTATAAGACTAAATTATTAGTATCAGCCTACTATTAACAATTTATAACTTAACCTCTTAAACTTTCATAGATGACACAACAATTTTATTCAAATTAAAGCACCTCTCAAGTCTAGTTTTTATTTGCTGGATACAAGTTATGCTGAATCATAGTCTATATATTTTTTATATTCAAGTAGATTCAAAATTCAGCCATAATCATTCAGGTCACGATCTCGGGGGCATGAGGTGGAGTTCTCTGATGTGGAGACCTCTTGGGATTCTCTCTCCCTCTCCCTCTGCCCCACTCCCATTCATGTGCAGGTGCACTCTTTCTCTCTAAAAATAATAATAATAATCAAATACTACTTTGAATTTTCTCTTAGAAAGCTTGAAAAATATTTATCTTTCTGGATACTAACTTCTCTTTCTACTTTCTCCTTTTCATACTGATACATTCTTCCTTTTAAAAGATTACATTCATTGATTAGCTCTCTATTGCTTGCTTCCAGCCAAAGACCGTGTTTTTCACTTTCAGCTTGAAGTTTTTCTACGATACCCTGAAACTGGTCTTGGATATTAATTACTACATTTTCTTTACTGGCAGCTTTGTTGTGAGCATCATCTAGTTGCTGTTGAAGCAGCATATTTTCACTTTGTAGTTGAGATAATCTCTCCACTAAGGATTCCTGCTTTCCAATGTATTTATTCACTTGATCTTGTTCATTTTGATACATGTGTTCCATTTCCTTTTGCTGACACTGTGTTTGACTTAGGTCTCTCTGTACACATTCTAAAACCAAAGTCTTTTCCCTGAGAGCATCTCTTGTGTGATGGAGCTCAATTTCTAAAGTATTGAATTCACTTTCAGCTTTAGAAAGGTTTTGAGAAAGAAGCTCATTGTTTTCTTTTAGGTTAGACACATCAAAATTCAGTTTGTCCTGCAGACGAAACCATTCATCTTTTGTTCTCTGGAAAGCAAGTTCTAGGTCTCTTTTTGATGCCTGACTTTGATCATAATCCTCTAGAGCAGTAGCTAGTCTAGCTCGATATGATCCAACTTGTGTGTCCAGTCTTTCTTTGTTTTGCTTTTCATTCTCCAGTTTAGACTTTAGCATTGTATTCTCAGTGGTCAGGGCATTAATCTGTCCACTACATTCTAATATTGTTTTTGTTAATGTTTCCTCATTCAGTTTTATGGTCTTTAGAAGACTGACATTCTTTTCTTTTATAATTTCAATGTCTTCACAATATTTACTTTCCATTCCCTGGTTCTTATTGTTTATTGTGTCTATTTCTAGTCTTAGCATGGCAATTTCATCCTGCCACATGTGGGTTTTAGGCAACAGATCTTTTTCTTCTTTATGACTATTAGACATCTTAGTAAAACAAAGGAGACTTTTAGCTGGAACTCAATAAAATGACATTATCCTGATTTTCTCTGAAATTAAAGAATAACCTATGTTTATACAATGAACAGATTGCAGTAAGTGGATATCCCAACTGGGAAAAAATAAAGTTGGGTCCAAACCTCAAACTTGATACAAGCATAAATTCCCAAAGTTTCAAAAATTTAATTGAAGACAGTGAATGCATGAAAGGAGAAAAGAAATCAAGACACAATTTTTAAGAATCTCAGACCTGGAAAGGTCTTTCTCTGATTTACAACAAACCCAGAAAGCCTGAAATAAAAGATTAATAAATCTGATTACACTAAAAATTGAATTTACAGTCTGATATCTAACACAGCTACCCCACAATAAAATCCAGAGCTCTGCTTTTATTTTGACAGATTCAATTTCCTAAAATTCTTTTTTCTTGACAATATTCCATACAAATTCTACTTTTCTAACATTTCTATAGTCACGTATAAGAATTACATCTACTGATAACTAACAAATCTAGGCACTGTACTATAAACACTTCTACCGACATCAGTGAACTTTTTAGTATCACAAATCTAGAATGGACAGGTTTAAAACATTAAGTGAGCTACAGGACTTTCCCCAGGTCTTCTTACTCCACTACTAGTCTCTTACACCAAACCGCAGCTCTTCTCTAGTGTAAATCAAAAATACAAAAAAAGCCTTATATTTCAAAATCCTGATGGTAAATAATGTAAAATTTATACAACTGTTAGAAAAATCATGAGATTATTTGCTGCTGCAATAAATTTTATTTCCTCTTCATGATGTTTTAAATAGGGGAAAATACACTGAGCTATTTTATTAGGAATAAAACACTCATCAATAAATTATCATTAGCATATAATTGTTTTAAAAGCGCCTTGTAATGAAATAGGATATTACTTGGAGCAAATTGCTACTTTTCTCAAAAGTAGAGACTAAATCCAAAAGAAAGTCTCTGAACAGGCTACACTCTTCTCCTGTTCATCAGTGGCAGTGTTAAGCTAACTTCTCTTTCAATACAGAGGTGATGAAGTAACTGCCAAAAATTGAAACATATGTTGTTAGTAGCACTAGTTTTGAGCATATGGAAAGCTCAACAATTCTTATGGAAAGTAATAAAAGCCTCTCCTTTGGATGAGGACATGATGAATGTCACTATTTGACTCTTGCAGACAAACGCATTTAAATTAAGGATATTACTTTATCCACTGGACCAAAAATGTCATCACCCCCTATGGCCCCCAAATACACACACACATACACACACACACACACACACACATATATATGCTTTAAAAATCCTCTATGCTTTCCATGATCTACAGTGTTGGTTTTTAAAATATATATATGCATACATGGAGAAAAAAATAATAATTTCAGAAAATAAAATGTATATACATATAAATACATACACACATGTACTTAAAAATAACTAAAGAAAATACCCCAGAATTTCTTCTGTTATTACCCACTTCTATCTCCTTTTGTTTGCAAAGGTGATTCTTTAGAATTCCATCTTGTACTCTGGCATTCTGTTCTCGAGAAAGTTGTAACTTAGCGTCATTTCGCTCTTCTACAACCTAGAAACATATTTTCATTAGGATTTTGGATCACACCATTAAAAAAAAAAAAGGAGGGGCGCCTAGGTGGCTCAGTCGGTTAAGCGGCTGCCTTCAGCTCAGGTCATGATCCCAGGTCCTGGGATCGAGCCCCACATTGGGCTCCCTGCTTGGTGGAGAGTCTGCTTCTCCCTCTCCCTCTCCCTGCCTCTCTGCCTACTTGTGCTCTCTCTCTCTCTGTCTGCCAAATAAATAAATAAAATCTTTAAAAAAAAAATCAAAAGCTTAAGAGAACTTAAAAATAATGTTCAAAAGAAGTAGCCTTTTTAAATACAAGGATTTTATCCTGAATGAATAACTCAACTTTTAATTTAAATGACAGCTAAATTTGTCATAAGGTAAAAATACAAGAAGATAGAGTATGTGAAAGTAAAATTTCTTTACAAAACATTTAACTAGTTCCATCATAGTCTCAAGGCGATTGAGCCTCTATTTTAACATAAAAAATTCAAAACTGGGGTGCCTGGGTGGCTCAGTTGGTTAAGTGTCCTACCCTTGGTTTTGGCTCAGGTCATGGTCTCAGGGTTGTAAGATCCAACCCTGAGTCGGGCTCTTCATTCAGCGCAGAGTCTGCTTGAGATTCTTTTCCCTCCCTCTCCCTCCCCCTTTACTCCTTCCCTTGCTCATGCTCTCTCTCTAAAAATAAATAAAATCTTAAAAAAAAAAAAGCCAACATTCACATTTATCTCAGTATATATGAGAAGACAAGAATTCCAATAAGTTAATAATTTTAGCTAAAAATATTATAGTTCCTATTAGGATAAAATTAAATTTTTTATCTATTTTATACCTAAATAATATACATTAAATCAAGGGTATATTATAAATAATATTGATGGAAATATGCAATTTTTATCAAAGATTTACCTGATCCAAATTATTTCTTACAGTCCTCAATTCCGCACCTACTGTTGCAAGACGAAGTTCAAGTTGTTGTTTCATTTCAACTTCTTTATTATACTGCTCTTCTTTTTCTCTGAATTGCTCCCTCATTTTTTCATATAATTTATCAGCATTTCTTCTTTTCTCTTCTTCTTGTGTGAAGGTAAATCTGCAAATAAATGTGCTTATTTTAAAATGTTTTGAAAGCAATAAAAAGTTCATTTTATGATCTGGTTCCACATATGTTGGTTTATTAGCCAAATGAAATTTCTATGTTCTCAATTTTTTTCTCGGGCTCATGTTTACTTTCTCACTTCAATCTCTTCCAAAAAAATATATATAGTTGAAAAGAAGCAATGAGAAAGCATTATGCAGCTTAGTAATAAGTTTTAGTACTAACTCTAGTAGATATTGTAGAGAAAGGAATTTTGAAATTATTCAAGAAAGTTAGAATTAAAAATTATCATTTTCCCCATATAGTCATAATTACTCCTCCATTAGAACAGATAATTTAGTTACTAAATAAAAAGAGAAGTTGCTCTTTATAAGAAAGTTCTACTTCACAAAACATCACAGGTACCTCCAAAAATAATTTGCAGTATAAGACAGCATCTGCAGATGTCATTTACACAACATTCACCTGTAGATTACGGTGATCCAGGACTAGCTTGGGGAGTCTAATATCTATACATTTTATATAGATAGCCCTTTACATTTTAGGTTTCTTCTTCTGCAATATTCTCAATTTACCCTGTTGATTATTATTCATTTTACTTTTTTTAAAGATTTTATTTATTTATTTGACAGAGAGAGAGAGCACAAGCAGAGGGAGCAGCAGGCAGAGGGAGAGGGAGAAGTAGGCTCCCCACCGAGCAGAGATCTGGAAATGGGGCTCGATCCCAGGACCCTGGGATCATGACCTGAGCCGAAGGCAGACCCTTAACCAACTGAGTCACCCAGGCGCCCCTATTATCCATTTTATAAATCATTTGAAAACCCCTTTTAGAACACAGGATCCATATTAATTAAGTAAACAATAAAGAGTTATATGTGCTTACAACATAGACTTTTGGATTAATTTTATAAGAGAGATTTTGAAAAAACTTAGCAGTAATCATTTTCCATTTTACTTTTTAATTGCTGCATATGTTTAAAACTGAATAAATTTTTAAAATTTTTCCTATCTTGAGATAAATGGCCATTTCATACTCTGTTGATGGGCATATAAATTAATATAAACTTCCCAGAGAACAATTTAAAAATAGAATCAAAGACCTCCTTTAAAAATTTTTATACTTTAAACAAACAATACTATATTGAAGAATTTATTCCAAGTAAGTAACCAGAATTGTAGAAATAGATTTATATAAAAGATATTCCTTACAGCACTAATTAAAGTAGAGAAAAATGGAAAATAACCAAAATGCAATTTGTTAAATAATGAGGATTCCATATGGTGGACTTCTATATGGTCATTAAAATTATGATTTGGAATATACATTAAATTATCAGTAGAAGGATTCACTGTCAAGAACTTGCTGAATTATTTTGAAGAATCTCATACTTCACACTACTAAAGACGTTTTCTTCCCTATAAAAATTCCAGAAGGTAAGTTAGCAATTATCAAACTTCTCCTACACATCTGTAGTACAAAAGTAAAGAGTTCAAGGGGCACCTGACTGGCTCAGTTGGTAGAGCATGCGACTCTTGACCTCACAGCTGTGAGTTCACACCCCACATTGGCTGTGGAGCCTCTTAAAAAAAAAAAAAAAGGTAAATAGTTCAAATATTTCCTTGAAACCAAGATGTCATACCTCAAACTGCCGAGTTCTTGTTCCCATTTCACTTTTTGATGCTCCAACTGCAATTTCAATTCTTTTGTTTCTGATAGCTCCTTTTGTAGTCCATTAACTTTATTTTCCATTTCTTTATTTTTTCTTTTAAGTTGTTTACACTGATTTTTAAGTTCTACTAATTTTTGATATGAAAGAATCGCATCCTGGATTTCTAGTAAAGTAGTAGAATCTACATCAGAGAAAAAACAAAAACAAATAAAATATATAGGGCGCCTAGGTGGCTCAGTTGGTTAAGCGTCGAACTCTTGGTTTCGGCACAGGTCATAATCTCAGACTCGTGGGATCGAGCCCCACGTCGGGCTCCACACTCAGCACAGAGTCTGCTTGAGATTCTCCCCCTGCCTTCCCCTCTGTTCTCTCCCACCCCCCACTCATGCTCTCTTTCTCGCAAACAATTTAATTAAATCTTTAAAAAAAAAGAAAATATGTGAGTACTTTTTGCATATAAAGGACTGTGTGCTTTCACATTCACTCACTCATACTTTAAACAAATATATATTGAATGACTTCAATATAAAAGATATTTTAGGGGTGCCTGGGTGGCTCAGTCAGTTAAGTGTCTGCCATCAGCTCAGGTCATGATCTCAGGGTCCTGGGATCAAGTCCCGTGTCAGACTCCCTGCTTACTGGGGAGTCTGCTTCTCCCTCTGCCCTGCCCCATCCCCTCTCGTGCACTCTCACTCTCCTTCTCTCAAATAAATGAATAAAATCTTTAAAAAAGAAAAGAAAAAATGACCAAAACCTTTCTAAATAATGAAAACTATCATCCCACAGATCCAGAAGAATCTGGCTAGGAGAGAAGAAATGGAAGTAAGCTACTATAGTTTTCTTAAACTACTATGATGGGGCATAACATTACTCAAAGGTGGACTGTGATGCTTAAGTCATATACTTTAAACCCTAATCACTAAAATAGCACAACTAAAGAGTTATAGCTAGAGTAAGCAAAATACATACATATACATACTCACATAAATAAAACTAAATCATAAAAATTACTTGATTAATTTAAAAGACAGCAGAAAGAGGAGAATAGGAGCAAAAAGCAGAAAAGACAAATAGAAGTCAAACAATTCGATGACAGATTCAAATCAACTACATCCATAATCACATTAAATGAAAATGGTCTAAAAGCCTCAATTAAAAGGCAGACTGTCAAAATGGATGAAAAAGGAAGACCCAACTATATGCCACCTATTAAAAAAATACGCTTTAAGTGTAAAGACACAAATTTTTTAAAAGGCCAGAAATATGACAGACCACACTAACAACCTGACAAAAGAACGCTGAGCTGGAGTGGCTATATTAATACGAGACAAAATAGATTTCAAAGCAAAAAACATTAGCAACAATAAATTAGGTCATTTTATAATGATAGAAAAGCCAATTAAAAGAAGCATAACAAACCTAAATGTTTATGCATCAATTAATAGGTTCAAAAACACATAAAGCAAAAATCGACAGAATTACAGAGAAACAGGCAAATTCACAGTTATAGTCTGAGATTTCAATAGGCAGAAAATCAGCAAGGATATAGTAGACTGGAACACCACCATTCTTCTCAAGTATCCATGGAACACTTACCAAAAGAGACTATATTTTGGGTCATAAAATAAATTGTAATAAAAGGAGTCAGTCAAAAGGACTGAAGTCATGAAAGTGTGCTCTGCGACCACAAACTAATTAACACACATCTGAATAACCCCTAGGTCAGGGCACCTGGGTGGCTCAGTTGATGAAGCGTCTGCCTTCAGCTCAGGTCATGATCTCAGGGTCCTGGGATCAAGCCCCACATTTGGCTCCCTGCTCAGAGGGAAGGCTGCTTCCCCTCCAGCTCATGCTCTCTCTCTCTCTCTCTAATAAATAAAATCTTGAAATAACCCCTGGGTCAAAGAAGTCCTGAAAAAAGAAATTAGAAAATATTCTGAACTGAATACACATAACATGTTAGAATTTCTGAAACCCTGCTATACAAGCACTCATATGAGCATTTACAGCACTGAATGTATATTTTAAAAAAGAAGAAAAGTCTCAAATTGATGACCTTTGGCTCCACCTTAAGAAATTAGTAAAACAGCAGTTAAAGTTTGATAACCTTTGGTTATGTAGAAAATCTGACAGAATTTTTTAAAAAGCTACTAGAACTAATAAATGAACTCATCAAGTTTGGAGAACAGAGAATCATTATACAAAAATCTACTGTATTTCTACATATTAGCAATACAAAATTAAAATTTAAGAATTAAAATTAATTTTAATTAATTAAAAAATTGAAACTGCATTGCAAAATAAAAAATACCCACAGGTAATATCATAAAGGATAAAAAGACCTATACACTAAAAACTACAAAATATTACCAAGAAAATTAAAGAAGATTTATATAATTGGAGAGAGATACTCTGTTTGGGGTTGAAAAATTCAATATTGCTAAAATTAGTCTGTAGATTCAACATAATCCAAACCTAATCTCCAGAAGACCACCAGAATGGTTTTTTTTTTTTTTTTTTTAGGAAATGACAAGCTGACTCTAAAATTCATGTGGAAAACATAAATAAATAAAATAAATACAATTCATGTTCTGGAAACACAAAGGATCTAGAATAGAATAGCAAAAGAACCCTGAAAAAGAACAAAACTGGAGGACTAACACTAACTACCTGATTTCAAAAATTATCATAAACTGGTAGTAATTAAAACAGCATGATATTGACATCAAGAAGGCCAAAGAGATCAATGGGACAGAATAGAGTCCATAAATAAACCCACACACATATGATCAACTGATCCTGACAAAGACACAATGGCATGAAGTGGAGAAAATATAGCCTTTTCAACAAATGGTGCTGGAACTGGATATCCATATGCAAAAAGAATGAACCTGGACCCATACTATGCATCATAAGTAAAAAAAAAAAAAAAGAATACAAAATGGAGGCGCCTGGGGGTCTCGGTTGAGTGTCTGCCTTGGCTCAGGTCATGATCCCAGGGTCCTGGGATCGAGCCCCATGTCCAGCTCTCTGCTCAGCGGGGAGCCTGCTTCTCCCTCTCCCTCAGCCTGCCACTGCCCCTGCTCATGCTCTCTCTCTCTCTGTCAAATAAATAAATAAAATCTTAAAGAAAAAATACAAAATGGATGACATGGATCACATGGATCACAGATCTAAATGTAAGACCTAAAACTATAAAACTTTGTTTTTAAACTACGAAACTTCTAAAAGAAAGCATGAGAGAAAACCTCTGACTTTGTGCTAGGCAAAGCTTTCTTAGATAGGAACACCGAAAGCAAAAAATCCATAGAAGAACAAATGGATAAACTGGATTTTATCAAAAAGAAAAACTGCTCTTCAAAAGACACTGTTGATAGAATGAAAAGTCACAGATTGGGAGAAAATCTTTACAAAAAAATATAGGTGAGGGCGCCTGGGTGGCTCAGATGGTTGAGCGTCTGCCTTCGGCTCAGGTCATGATCTCAGGGTCCTGGGATCGAGTCCCGCATCGGGCTCCCTGCTCCTTGGGAGCCTGCTTCTCCCTGTGCCTTTCTCTCTCGCTCTGTCTCTCATGAATTAAAAAAAAAAAAAAAAAAAAAAAAAAAAATCTTAAAAAAAAAAAAAAAAAAAAAATATAGGTGAGGGACGCCTGGGTGGCTCAGTTGTTAAGCATCTGCCTTCGGCTCAGGTCATTATCCTGGGGTCCTGGGATCGAGCCCCACATTGGGCTTCCTGCTCAGCGGAGAGTCTGCTTCTCCCTCTCCCACTCCCCCTGCTTGTGTTCCCTCTCTAGTGTCTCTCTGTCAAATTAATAAAATCTTAAAATATATATATACATGATAAAGGAACTATATCTAGAATATACAAAGAATTCTCAAAACAAGTAAGAAAACAACCTAATTTTTAAAATGACAAAGGATTTGGATAGTTCAAAGCAGATATACAAATGCCAAATAAGCACATGAAAATATGATCAACATTATCAGTTATTAGGGAAATGTATATTAAAACCGTAATGGGTAAAGTAGGCAAGATGGCGGAGGAGTAGGAGACCTGGATTTCATCTGCTCTCAGGAATTCAGCTGGATAGGGATCAAACCATTCTGAACACCTACAAACTCAACAGGAGATCGAAGAAAAGAATAGCAACAACTCTGAACAGAAAATCGACCACTTTCTGGAAGGTAGGACGTGCGGAGAAGTAAATCGGAGGCGATATTCAGGAGGATAGATGGCGGGGGAGGGGCCTCCGTGGGCCACTTCTGGCAAGTGATAGAACCACGGAGCATAAAATCGGAACTTTTAGAAGTCTGCTCCACTGAGGGACATCACTCTGGTGGCTAAGTGGGGGGTGGAACCTTCGTGGGACAGTGTGGTCTCAGGACCCTCAGGGTCACAGAAAGACCGGGGGTCCCTGAGTGCGGCAGAGCTCCCAGGTATCGGAGCGGGAAGCCGGCTGCAGAGTTGGAGCCGAGGCACGGGCTCTCAGCTCGGGGTTGCTATAAACCATGATCCGTGATACAGTCGGGCCACTGCTCCTCCAGCAGAGACCCAACAAGAGGCAGATCTGGGGAGACTCACCTTCCTTCCCCGGGAGGAGCGGCACGGGAGTGCACCGCAGGGATCTGCTGGGTTTGGAGACTCCACACCAAGTCGGGTGCCAGGGATACAAACGCGCGGTCAGAGGCCGGGTGAGCATGGAATGTGGCCGGAGACCGGGGAGACGGGAGTAACTGACTACTTTTCTCTGGTGGTGCACTGAGGAGTGGGGCCCCGAGTTCTCGGCTCCTCCGGGGCGGAGATTGGGAGGCCGCCATTTTCACTCTCCACCTCCAAAGCAGTATGGAAAGCTTGAAGGGAAAAAAAGCTCCAGAGAGCAAACCCGAGCAGATTACTTAGCCCTGACGGGGCAAGGGCGGGGCAATTCCGCCTCTGGCAAAGACATTTGGGAACCACGGCAACAGGCCCCTCCCCCAGAAGATCAGCGAGAACAGCCAGCCAAGACCAAGTTTACCGATCAATGAGAATGGCAGAACTCCTGCGCTAGGGGAATACTGCACATAGAATTCATGAGTTTTTTACCATGATTCTTTAGTCTTTCAAAGGTAATTTTTTTTTAACTGGTTTTTTTTTTTTGAATTTTTCTTTTTCCCTTTTTCAACCAACATCTTATCAATCCCT